AAAGAGGGGGAAATGCCTAAGAAAGGAAACAATAAAATCTACTTGGAAAAGAAAACAAGGGGCTGATGGAAGAAAATAGATTGATTACCAGGGAAGAAAGGGGTAAAGTGTGAAAGTGTTCAAGCTTCTGGGAGAATATTAGCAGAAATTTAAGGACTAGCTGCTGTTTGGGGGAGCGGTGTTGAAATGACAGATAGGAAAAAGCTATTGTATAAGTTTTGCTCTTACAATAAGAATGCATCTGCCCTCCACATCCACCACATACATCTAGAACTTTCTAAAAGACTTTAATTGCTTTCAATATTTGGGGGGACAGGGCCTCCCTGGTGACACAAGGGGTTAAGACACAACCTATGAAGCTATCCACAGCCACTGCAGCATGAGTTCGATCCCCGGCCAGGGAGATATCCACATGACACAGCAGACCTCTTCTGACTTGCTCTGGCTCTTCCCCTCAGCAGTGTATTTCAGTCAGTCCACCTGTTCTGTTCCCCAATCTGTCTCTGGTGAATCCTCTCACCCCCCACACCTCTGGTCTGTACCCCAGTTCTTGTATGCATAAATAAATAAATCTTTAAAAAATATTTGGGGGAATTATTTTCTCTGAATATTACATTTTGCCAAGACTGGCCCACAGGACTTAATTCAGACTACTGAAATACTGAGAAATACCAAGAGACATTTTCTCTATTTTTATTCAGACATTTTCTATATATGTGTTAGTGACTCCTAATTTTTTTTTAAGATTTATTTATTTATGCATACAAGAGCTGGGGTACAGGCCAGAGATTCGAGGGGTGAGAGTATTCACCAGAGACAGAGTGGGAAACAACAGGCAGACTGACTGAAATACACTGCTGAGGGGAGCAGTAGGCAAGACAGGAGGGGTCTGCTGTGCCATGTGGGTTGCTCCCTGGCCAGCCAGGGATTGAACTCGTGCTGCAGAGGCTGCGGACTGCTTCATAGTGCTGTGCTTAACCCCTTGCGCCACCAGGGAGGCCCCTTGACTCCTAAGTTTCAAACTTATTACAAAAATTCCAGAGAACTACATAGGGAAACTACTAAGGGTCAAGACATTTTTTTTAAGTTCTATCTTTGAGGTTCTAATCATTTTGTGAAACTTCAGAAAAACTCTACTTTGAAGATTTAACATTGCCACTATAGTGAGATCATCCCAAATCAGAAACTTGTTTTTTTCCAGTCTTTCACCATGTTTCTTACATCTCTTTTGTACTTTATTTATTCTGTGTAGCTTGTTCTTTCAAAGTACTTTCTTAATGTAAAAGTAATATGTGCTGGCTGGACTTCTCTTTTTCCAGCTTTATTAATGTATAATTGACAAAATTGTAGCATATTTTACATTACATATAATAATATATTAAAGTGTACAAAGTGATGATTTGATATACATGTACATTGTGAAAGGATTCCCACATTGAGTTAATTAACTCCATCACCACATGATTACTTTTTTTTTGGTAGAAATGCTTAAGATTTACTCTCTTAACAAATTTCTGATATATAATACAGTATTATTAGCTATAGTCACCATGCTGTAATTAGATCCTCAGAATTTATTTTTGTAATTGGAAGTTTGTACCATTTTTTTTTTTTTAAGATTTATTTATTTATTTATACAAGCACTGGGTATAGTCAGAAGCGCAGGAGGGTGAGAGGATTCACCAGAACTAGAGCGGGGAACAGAACAGGCAGACTGGCGAAATACACTGCTGAGGGGAGCAGTGGGAGGCAGGAGAGGTCTGCGCGCCATGTGGGACCCTCGCCGGTGGCCGGGGATCGAAAAGGCACTGCAGAGGCTGCGAGCAGCTTCGCAACCCAGCGCTCAACCGCTGCGCCACCGGGGAGGCCCGAGTTTGGCTTTTTTAGATTCCACATATAAGAAAGATCTAATACTATTTGTCTTTTTTTCTTTGACTTATTTCACTTAGCATAAAGTCCTCCAGGTTTAACATGTCCTTTTTATGAGTGAATTTTATTACATGAGTATTTATACACACACATTATCTTTATCCATTCATCTGTCAGCAGACACAAGTTGTTTCCATGTCTTGGCTATTGTGAATAATGCTGCAGTGAACATGAGGATTGGGGTGCAGGTGTCTTTTTGGGAGAGTGATTTTGTTTCCTTTGGATATACACCCAGTAGTGAGGTTGCTAAGTTATATGACAGAGTTATATTTTTACTTTAGTTTGAATTTATCCTTAATTGTGTGTTATAAACTCACCAAAAAAGAAATCACACCTTCTTTATAAACAATATCATGGCAATCAACAGCACAGGTCTCAAAGTCAGAAAAACCTGAGTTTGCATCTTGCCTCTGCACCCCTTAGTTAAAATGCCAAAGATTTTGTTGTAGTAATTAATTTTGTTCAATTGTGTTTAGTTTCAATATTCTCATCTTAAAATTGAGTTAATAATGCCTAGTTCTTTTTTTTAATTTTTATATTCCCCATACAATTGCAACCCCCTTATTTTGACCCCAAGCCCTCCTTTCCCCGCCCCCCACACCCCATAGAGTGTCTCTGGTTCATAGTTGTTTGTTGATTTTGATTTTTTCTTTCTTATAGTTATTCTTTTTCCTGGTCCCTTATTTAGGTTTTCTAGATTCATGCTATGAGTGAGACCATCCGGTATTTTTCTTTTTCTTTCTGGCTTATTTCGCTGAGCATGATCCCTTCCAGCTCCATCCATGTTGCTGCAAATTGCATGTGTTTATCTTTTTTGAATGCTGAGTAATATTCCATGGTGTATATGTACCACATCTTCTTGATCCAGTCATCTATTTTTGGGCATTTGGGTTGTTTCCAAAGCTTAGCTATTGTAAATAGTGCTGTTATAAACATAGGGGTGCAGGTGCTCTTTGGAATTGATGTTTCTGTGTCCTTTGGGTAACTACCTAGGCGTGGAATTGTTGGATCATATGGAAGCTCTATCTTTAGTAGGTTGAGGAATCTCTACACAGCTTTCCATAATGGTTGGACCAGTTTGTACTCCCACCAGCAGTGCAGGAGAGTTCCTTTTCCTCCACACCCTCGCCAACATTTGTTGTTGCTAGTTTTTTTAATACGTGCCATTCTTACTGGTGTGAGATGGTATCTCATTGTAGTTTTGATTTGAATAATGCCTATTTCTACTGGATACTTATGAACATTAAATGAGATATAAATAAGAATGTATTAAAGTGTTTATCACTACACCTGGTACACACAAGTAATCAACCAATGTTAACCATTATTCTGTGTTTGTTTACTTTATTATTTGTATTGATTTAAAAGTAATAATCACCACAATGAGAAGAATATCAGCTTAATATTCAGAGTCAAGATGAGGGCTAAGCAGAGGGAAACAGACTTTGTACACAAACATTGCTCATTTTCTTCCATATTTGAATCCCTATCATGTAGCACACAAGTAGCTACTCAGATCTTTGCTGAACAGATCATGGCTAAGACAAGAGAAGAGAACCATGAAAAGAATCTGGTGCTGGCACCATTGGTTACTATGCCTTGAGATTTGAAATCCCAAGGAATGTTGTGGGGGCTTGAGGCAAGCTTCTAGCCTAAATGAACCTTATTGGAAGTGGGGTAGGAAGAAAGTGTTATCTGTTAGTTCCAGGACCTAGCTAGGAGTTCTGAGCCTCCCCCGGGAATTTCAATTCAATCTCAGTTCCTTCTCCTCTCTGCCCTCTCCCACAGTGCCTCTGGAGAGTGCTCTAGTGATGGGAACTTCCAGTGACCAACCTGCCCTTTCATGAGGTTTCTGGGAGTTGGGGACCCACTCAAATACCACCTTCTGCCTTAAGCACTTCCTGTTTGCCCATGTAAGAATCTTCCTTGTGATTGCACTTATTTGTCCTGTTCCAGCCACTAGCTTTGCATTGTTTCCCTTGGGAACCGAAAGTCTCTGAGAGCAAAGTCTGACTGGCTCCTGTTTTATCAGTACAGTGAGATATACACAAGTTCCAAAGTAATGACTGTTCTATTGAATTCTACTGAAACTGGAGGGGGCCTGCAGCCTGCATCTTCAAGCTGCTCTTTAAACTCCAGCCTTCCCCTAAAATAAGGTGCTACCCTGGTCTCAGAGCTGTAAGAAACAAACTTCTGCTTCTACAGAAGAAGATAGCCTGGTGTTCTTTGTTTGACTCCTAGTTGGAAGTTCACAGTAATCCTTTTTTTTCTTTTTTTTAAAGATTTATTTATTTATTCATACAAGCACTGGGTACAGTCAGAAGCACGGGAGGGTGAGAGGATTCACCAGAGCCAGAGTGGAGAGCAGAGCAAGCAGACTGATGAAATACACTGCTGAGGGGAGCAGCGGGCAGCAGGAGGGGTCTGCGCGCCATGTGGGACCCTCGCCCGGCGGCCGGGGATCCAACAGGCGCTGCAGAGGCTGCGGGCTGCTTCGCAACCCAGGGCTCAACCGCTGCGCCACCAGGGAGGCTCCCCAGTTATCCTTTTTTAAAGCAAAAAATAATAATAATTCTTAAATAATAATTAAACAAAAAAATAAATTATTTAATTTAAAAAGCCAGCAGGGATCCAGAAGAAAATATTTAGGGGTTAGGGATAGGGGTTAACATTCAACTTTTTTCCTCTCTATAATTTAAAGTTCATTTTTTACATCACCCAGCTATTACATAGGAGCATTGTTGAAATTCAACATCTGTAACAGCAAGAAACAATCTGAAAGAATTCTGACTCTATTAGCAAACAGCTTACTTAAATATTGTTTAGCAGCCATATAAAATTATTAAATCAATAATTTAGCCCATATGCAATTATTTTAAATCATGAAATTTGCACAAAATTGTAAATTTTTCATTCTTAATCATCATTACCACATTGTTTGCTAAAGTACTTGGCCAAAAATAATATCTTCTGGAAATTATTCTGAGTTATTTAATTAATTTTAGTTAAAATAACATCTAAGGCAAAGCAGCTCAGCAATTTTCTTTTCTCACTCGACATGGGATAAAAAATTACCCTTTCAACTTCATGAATGTGTCCTTCATGGCTTGAACCTCATTCTGCTTGAAGAATGCGAAAGTGTCTCCTCTTGACTTCACATAGCTTTTCACAAATCCAGTTAATTTCCTGAGCCCTTCAGTCAGTCCCTCCCCAGTGATGGCACAGCAGGGCTGTACATACCAGTTCCGGTCACTGCAGAGCTTCTTTACTTTAAACATTCTGGTGATGTCCTCGGCAGTCAGAGCGCCAGGCATATCTTGTTTGTTGGCTAATAGGACAACAGGTACATGTTTAATGTGTTCATTCTTCAAAATGTGCTCAAACTCTCTCCTGGAATCTTCTAGTCGCTGCTTATCTGTACTGTCCACAACATACAGCAGCCCGTCAGTGTTCTCACAGTAATAGTCCCAGACAGTTCTCATTTTTTCCTGTCCTCCAACATCCCAGATCGTGAGTAGAAGACTCTTTTCCAGTTCAATCATCTCCACGTTGAAACCAATTGTTGGTATGGTCACAATATCTTTAGCAAGTTTTAATTTATAAAGGAGAGTAGACTTCCCTGCAGAGTCAAGTCCCAGCAGAAGAATTCGGGCTTCCTGGACTTTGGTATTTTTAGAACTCAATAGACCCATTTTCAGGTTTTTGTTTTTTTCATTTAAAGACTTTTTTTTTGGCTGAGGCAATGTTTCTTCTGTAGATCTTGCATGAAATTGTTAGGCGGAAAGAAGAGAGCTAATGCTTTATATTACATTGTTAGATTAGGAGCTTGCGTGTATTTATGTTGTGGCTTATCAACTTAATTGTGGGCAGTGTTTTATGTGCAGTCCAGCCAATCCTGAGGAGTCTGTGGTTTGAGTAACTAGGCTATGTCTAAGTAGCTCAAGGGGGAAATTCCTTGTGAGTGAAAAGGACAGGAGTGGCTTATCTGGGCGATGCTCCAGCTTGTTCCTTCCAGATGGAAGTCTAGAGGTCATCAAAGGCTCAGACAGGCATAGGAACATGGTTAGATAGCAGAATAAAAACTAAATTTTACAAGTGATTTGTAAAACTTCTCTACTTATTTGACCATTTATTCTATCCCAGTTGTAAATGAGTAACCAGACCGCTGAAGTCACAAGAGTTTATCTCACATGTTCCTAAGCAAGTGTCACTACCTTCCCCTTATCCAGATTACTCAATAGGAAATGTTAAACCACCCAAGGTTATGTGAACATTTACTCCCATAATCATATATTCACTCCTTTACTAATCATCTACACATCATCCCCAGATGAAATGTACAGGAGCAGGAGAAGGCGGATGTTTATAATGCAAAGGCTTTTAAAATTAAGCAGCCTTTTTATAATGGCAAATTGAATACACGTCCTTTCCTTTTCCAGACATAGGAGAGTTCATCTGAAAATGAGAGACTTTTAAATTCTGGAAGATGGGAAATAGAGGGAAGATGAGTGGTAACTGATATAGCACGATGTGGCTGAGGCTTGGTGTGCTGATGCACCAGATATAGAGAGAAGGGGTAAAATGAGGGTCTAAAGGAGTGAATCAGAGGCTTAATTGAAAGTCTGAATACGAAACAGAAAACACACACACACATGCGCTTCTGCTATGTAACCACTAAGCAACAAGATGTTACTCCTCAAGCAAAACCTGAAGGGTTCTTTTCTAAAGAAATTGAATGATGTCAGAAAATACCTCAATGTATGGCAATTGGGAGTTCCCACTTCATAATGTCTACCTTTAATTACCCTGTAGTCAAACTGGCAGTTGGCGAACCTTATTCATGTACACAGAGTTCCAATCAACTTTTCAGTGCTCAAAGGTTTCTATGCTTAATATCTAACATGTCTTTCATGTGAATGAAAGACAAGAATAAAAATAAGAAGGATTTAAGAAAGCTTAAACAGAGGTAATTCAGGGAAAAGAAGAAAATTTTCAGTAAGTTCTAATTAATATTTCCATAAGGATTTGAAAATGGTGCATCCATAAGAAAAGAAATAGATGATGTTAAAAAGGACACTCAGAAGCAAATACAGAACTCTTAAATAATTTCCAAACTCTTAAATGATTTCCAAAGCTTGAAAAAGATCAATAGTAGTTTGGAGGAAATCTTTTAGAAAGTAGATATAGAAAATGTCTTAATCTGCCCTTAGTAACTTTCACTGGGGAGGAAGTAAAAGATATATGAACAAATAAAAATAATTCAAAATTGAAAAAAAAGCAAATGCCTCAAACAAAAGTTAAAAGTATTCTGGATATTAGAAGATTATTTCAGGATGGAGGACCTCAGGGAAATAATCTAGAGAGGGTTCAGTATTAAACTGAGCTTTGAGATGCAGCGGGGGAAGAGCATTTATTAAAGACATGGTCTGTGTAATATATGCACATAGTCTTTTTCTATAACATGTTTAGATCTCATGAGAAAATCATCCGTCAAATCTAGCTTGTAGGATATGCTACCAGGCAACAGACCTAGACTCTTCAAAAACACCCTTGTCGTTACAAAGGGATAAGTGGGAAAATGCTCTAAATTATAAGATACATGACTCTTAAACACATTGTGTGGTCTTTGATTAGATCTGTTGCAAAAATAAAAAGAAGGGCCTGCCCTGGTGGCGCAGTGGTTGAGCGCTGGGCTGCGAAGTGCTGGTATGATCCCCGGCCACCAGCGAGGGTCCCACATGGGGCTCAGACCTCTCCTGCCACGCCTGCTGCTCCCCTCAGCAGTGTATTTCGTCGGTCTGCCTGTTCTGTTTCCTGCTCTGGCTCTGGTGAATTCTCTCGCCCTCCCGCACTTCTGTACCCAGTGCTTGTATAAATAAATAAATAAATCTTTAAAAAAAATAAAATAAAAAGTTTAAAGAAATTATTATGATAATTGGGGACATTTGCTTATAAGCTATACATTAAATGGTGCTATTTAAAATTTGAGTGGGATGCTAGCATTGTAGTTAGGAAGGAGGATGCCCATATTCCAAAGAGTTACATGCTAAAATACATAGTGGTGGGCCTCCCTGGTGGTGCAAGGGGTTAAAATTTTATTATGATTGGGGTTTCCATGATGGCACAAGGGATTCAGTCTCAGCATTATGAAGCTATCCGCAGCCACTGCAGCACAAGTTTGATCCCTAGCCAGGGAGCAACCCACATGGCGCAGCAGACCTCTCCTGACTCGCCCGCTGCTCCCCTCAGCAGTGTATTTCAGTCAGTCTGCCTGTTCTGTTCCCCACTCTGTCTCTGGTGGATCCTCCCACCCCCCATGCCTCTGGCCTGTACCTCAGTTCTTGTGTGCATAAATAAATAAATCTTTAAAAAATAAATTAAATAAAATAAAATACATAGTGATGATACCAGCAAGTTAATTCAAGTTGTTCTGAAAAACACTTTTGTACGTACACAGAAAGAATGCAGAGCAGAAATATGGCAAAAGTCAATAATTGGTGGATTTAGGTGAAGAGTATCAGATATTCATTGTATTTTTTTTTTAACTCTTCTGCAGGTTTGAAATTTTTCAAAATAACATGTTGGAAAAAAGAACATAAATGAAATAAGATAATCACATTAGAGTGCAGTCTACAGTAATATAGAAAAATAATAGCTTATATACGTGGTAATCCTGTATTTCCAAAGAGGAATTTAGGGATTCTGTCCACTCTCATCTGAGCTTTTCCCTCCTTCAGTATTTTTGGAAAATTAAATTTTAAAAGAAAAAGCTTGACATTTATTTCATATTAAATTTGGCACTACATTCCTTATGAGATTGACTATCAGCACTGGGGTAATACATTGTTTGGGCTATCATGAGGATGATCAGACCTATATGACTTCACTCTGTTTCCCATTTGACCAACTGTACTTTCTTTTCAGAACAGCCAAGGAAATTAAGGGTTAAATTCTGCACTCGATCTTAGCCAAAAGGCCGAGAAGCGACGAAGAAGGGTTAAATTCTGAATGAATATTATATCCAAATGAAAATATGGCTCTTTTTTGAAAGACAGTAAAATAATTTGTTTAGCAATGCTAATTTTCATGAAAAAGTTTGTAAGTGTTTCAACATCCTTTCCTATAATTCTACAATATTTATGGCTTCATTTTCCCAATCAAGAAAGATGGCAAGGTATTTGTTTTCTGTAAATTATTCTAACATTATGCTAATAAAGGTAGGATTGTGGAAGAGTTCCTGGTAGGCTCTGTGGTGTCACAGAAAAATTGTTTTAAAATAAAGGAACGAAAGAAACATTTTCTTTAATTTCATACCATGGAGGTGGGAGGCAAAAAGTTCTAAATTAGAAACTCAGCCATGTGCTGACCAAGATATAGAAACTTATCATTTGGAAGAAAGTGGTAACTTATTCTACTATCTTTATTTTTCACAGATAAAAAAGTAAAAATAAGGTTGTGTGATATGCTTAGCTTATGCAAACTTGGAACAGCCCCTGTTTTCCTACAATAACATTTTATTGGTATTTTCAAAAATAAATGCTTGGAAAATTGAAGTGTAGCATACATATAGAAAAATGCAAAAATCATAAATGTGCTGCTCAGTGAATTACCACAAATTGAAAACATGCATGTAACCACCACTGAGACTAGGCTTAATTTTTAATTTTCCATTTTTGTTACAAGTAAAACTTTCAGACCTCAGTTGTCAGAAATACATTCTTCCCAAACATAAAATATGAACAGCAGTTATTTGTGATCCTAGCCTAGATTCTTTGATGTGAAGAATGTTATATTACAATCTATGAAACTTTCCAAGGGCTATTTTCTCCATGACAGAGCCAGTACCTTCATCCACATTAGCAAAGGTTGAGAGATTTTCTTTTCCCCACACAGGCATACTATTGGATCTGAGTTCAAATCTAACCTCTCGAACTTACTAAGTATTGAATGGTGATTTTTTAAAAAATGGGTATTGTAATAATTCTATTACAAAAAAACACGTCAAAGCACCACAAAAGTTGGCACATGATTGATGCAATTTTTCTTCCTCTCTTCTTGCAAGATGTGTATTAGCTAGCATTAAAAATACCTGCAATCGGGCCTCCCTGGTGGCGCAGGCGGTTGAGCACCACACTGTGAAGCTGTCTGCAGCCTCTGCAGCGCGAGTTCGATCTCAGCCGGCTGGCGAGAATCCCACATGGCACAGCAGACCTCTCCTGTCTTGCCCGCTGCTCCCCTCAAAAGTGTATTTTGTCAGTCTGCCTGTTCTGCTCCCTGCTCTGTCTTTGGTGAATCCTCTCACCCTCCCGTGCATCTGGCCTGTACCCCGGTTCTTGTATAAATAAAATAAATCTTAAAAAAAAAAAAAAGGTGGCCACATGGTGGGTGGCACCTTGGAAATAAAAAAATAAAATACCTGCAATTTTTTATCCTTTCTAGAAGAAAAATGATTTAGTGGTTATCATTAGAGTATCCCCTTGACAGAATAAACCATTTATGCTGAACTTCTTCCCCAGGTCCCCAACATTTTTATTCCCCATCCCAAATAAGATTAAAATGAACAAGAAGACAGTACAACAGTAGAAGGGTAGTCTGCAGGTTCTGCCTGGAATTTGGAAGGGCAGTTACAAACCTTTGCCTTGGTGAAGATGGAGATTTATGTAAGGGCAGATGATTCAATGTCTTTAGGCCC